CGTGGTGTTTTTGACTCAGCTGTGTCTTGGGTAGGCAAGGCAAACAAATCATGTTTTTGGAGAACAGCTAAAGAGCATAAATCCAATAAAACTGTGACAGCTACTTTATCTAGTAATGCAAGTATTACAAGCTTATTGTCCAGAAGAACTTCTACATTAACGGTGAACGCTGAAAAAGTTACTAAATCTGAAGAGTATTTATTTTATATTTTTTTAAAATGCAAATACAATAATAAAAATAGGGGTTTTTTTAAATTATATCATTTTTCATATATATATATATATATATTCTTTATAAATGAAATTTTTGAGATGAGATATATTTTGAAAAATTAAGGAATATTGGTATGACTCATGAAGACGAAGAAAAATTAGCATATATGAGAGATTATATTTATAAATTTTCTATACTAAAATCAAAGTAAGAACATTTTTCAGTAAAATAATTTTTTTTCTAAAAAAAAATAGAAAAACAATTCATTTATCTCATATATCTCACATAATACACATACATTAAGTGCCAGACCAAGGTTAGATGAAAATATACATTTGGAGGTAATGTCTTTTTTATTATTTTTAAATTGACTAATTACATAAAGATTATTTTATTTACAAACATATATTTTGAAATTAGGATGGATCAATTGCATCAAAAGATTTGGGAATAAACCCGCAGAATGTATTTATTTCGTTTATAAGCCCTGATGTGAATTCTTCAAATTTTAATTCGGTAAGTTATATATTGTTTTTGAATTTTATTTGAATTTCAATGTATAAGCTCTCGAGTTCTTATTTTTTAATAATTGACTGATTTTATATCCGAAATTTTTATAAAAAAAAATTAATATCAGAACATTATTGGTACGCCAAAGTAAGTAATTATTATTATCGTTATTACTCGATTTTTTTTCCTTCCTATTTTAAACTCACTTTTTATTTTGTTATATATTTCAGTATTTATCCTAATTCAAGTGGAAAAATAAATATAAAATAAAATCAATTTGTCAGTATGTATTTAACACATACATGGATTGATGGACGAATGGGTAGATACTAACTGGTTTTTTAACATTTTCCAATAAATGCATTTCTGTTATTTCAACAATATCAGCCTGTAAAAATTGTCTTATTATTGGATATATTATGCACCAAATATCAGTTTGTGGTAAAAGTTTAGCCACAGACGCAATAAAACCAATAGCACCTAAATGATAATAAATTAGTAAACATCAAAAGCTCCCACCAAAGAATGATGATGTTAAAAATTTGTTTTTACCATATCTAATCCAAATCCCAGGATGACATAATAAAGGTGCAACAATTGCTACCAAATCCCATAATTTCATTTTTTGAAATAATCTTAATTCAGCAAGACTTGTGAGTGAATTAAGAACTTTTTCTACAACAAATTCTTCAGTGTCTGTTTTTCATTTTATCATAACAAATAAACAATCATTAATGTGTATATATAATAACGTAATTTAAAAAATAATTATATATATATGTTTTATATAAATATAATTTACCAGACAATGATTGAATCATTAATGGCAGAATGTATTCTTCTAAACCACACCCTCCTATAAAGGTTCCAACACCTACAATACTCTCAAAAAATGCACTATTTATTTATTTAATAATAAAATGATATTACAATATATAATTAAAAAAAATTATTTAAACTTTTAATAGCAAATTTGCAACTTTAAAATCTTATTAATAATCACCTTCGTAACATCCAATCTCTA